CACGACAACGCCTCTTCCCCCTCAGGAGACTGAAAAGATTAGGCATGGGCCCTCAGATCCTCAAAAAGTTATACAGCTGCACCATTGAGAGCATCCTGACTGGATGCATTACCACTTGGTATGGCAACTGCTTGGCATTCGACCGCAAGGCGCTACAGAGGGTAGTGCGTACGGCCCAGTACATCACCGGGGCCGAGCTCCCTGCTATCCAGGACCTCTATACCAGGCGGTGTCAAAATTGTAAAATCATCCAGCCACCCAAGTCATAGACTGTTCTCTCTGCTACCACACGGCAAGTGGTACCGATGCACCAAGTCTGGAACCAGCAGGACCCTGAACAGCTTTTACCCCCAAGCCATAAGACTGCTAAATATTTAGTTAAATCGTTAACCGAATAGCTACCCGGACGATCTAAATTGACCTTTTTTGCACAAACTTTTTGGACTCATCACATACCCTGCTGCTACCTGTCACTTTTATTCCTAGTTATAGGTACATATCTACATCAATTACCTTGTACCCCTGCACATCGACTCGGTACGGATACCCCTTGAATATATTCAAGTTATCGTTGCTCATTGTGTATCTATTGTTACCTTTATTATTACGTGTTTTACTTTATATTATTTCTCTATTGTTGTTCTCTCTACATTTCACTGCTAGTCCACACCTGTTGTTTATGAAGTATGTGACAAATACAATTTGATTTGATTTGTTACTGTGACCTTGTCTGCGTCTGTCTGTTTCCGTGTCTGTGACCTTGTCTGCGTCTGTCTGTTTCCATGTCTGTGTCTGTTTCCGTGTCTGTGTCTGTGTCTGTGTCTGTGTTTGTTTCTGTGTCTGTTTCCGGGTCTGTGTCTGTGTCTGTGTCTGTTTCCGTGTCTGTGTCTGTGTCTGTTTCTGTGTCTGTGTCTGTCTGTTTCCGTTTATGTGTCTGTGTCGGTGTCTGTCTGTTTCCGTGTCTGTGTATGTGTCTGTGTCTGTGTCTGTGTCTGTCTGTTTCCGTGTCTGTGTCTGTGTCTGTCTGTTTCCGTGTCTGTGTCTGTGTCTGTGTCTGTGTCTGCCTGTTTCCGTGTCCGTGTCTGTGTCTGTGTCTGTGTCTGTGTCTGTGTCTGTCAGTTTCCGTGTATGTGTCTGTATCTGTGTCTGTCTGTTTCCGTGTCTGTGTCTGTGTCTGTGTCTGTGTCTGTGTCTGTGTCTGCCTGTTTCCGTGTCCGTGTCTGTGTCTGTGTCTGTGTTTGTCTGTTTCCGTGTCCGTGTCCGTGTCTGTGTCTGTGTCTGTGTCTGTGTCTGTGTCTGTCTGTTTCCGTGTCTGTGTCTGTGTCTGCCTGTTTCCGTGTCCGTGTCTGTGTCTGTCTGTTTCCGTGTCCGTGTTCGTGTCTGTGTCTGTGTCTGTCTGTTTCCGTGTATGTGTCTGTGTCTGTGTCTGCCTGTTTCCGTGTCCGTGTCTGTGTATGTGTCTGTCTGTTTCCGTGTCTGTGTCTGTGTCTGTCTGTTTCCGTGTCCGTGTCCGTGTCCGTGTCCGTGTCCGTGTCTGTGTCTGTGTCTGTGTCCGTGTCCGTGTCTGTGTCCGTGTCCGTGTCTGTCTGTTTCCGAGTCTGTGTCTGTGTCTGTCTGTTTCCGTGTCTGTGTCTGTGTCTGTGTCTGTGTCTGTGTCTGTGTCTGCCTGTTTCCGTGTCCGTGTCTGTGTCTGTGTCTGTGTCTGTGTCTGCCTGTTTCCGTGTCCGTGTCTGTGTCTGTGTCTGTTTCCGTGTCTGTGTCTGTCTGTTTCCGTGTCTGTGTCTGTGTCTGTCTGTTTCCGTGTCTGTGTCTGTGTCTGTCTGTGTCTCTGTCTGCCTGTTTCCGTGTCCGTGTCTGTGTCTGTGTCTGTCTGTTTCCGTGTCCGTGTCTGTGTCTGTCTGTTTCCGTGTCTGTGTCTGTGTCTGTGTCTGCCTGTTTCCGTGTCTGTGTCTGTGTCTGTCTGTTTCCGTGTCCGTGTCCGTGTCTGTGTCTGTGTCTGTGTCTGTGTCTGTGTCTGTCTGTTTCCGTGTCTGTGTCTGTGTCTGTGTCTGCCTGTTTCCGTGTCTGTGTCTGTGTCTGTGTCTGTCTGTTTCCGTGTCTGTGTCTGTGTCTGTGTCTGTCTGCGCGTACTGCATCTTGGGTTGGGCTGGTAGTGGGATGGTGGTCTTGTGGTCTGTGGTTGCTCATCATTGTGAGAAGATGATAGGCCTACAGTCAGTAGCAGAGAGGAGGTTATACCCTCTCCACATGCCCCCCCACACCTTTTCTCTTGTTTCTTTCTCTCCCTCCCTCTGTCTCCTCCCTCTGTTTCTCTAACTCCACCCTCTAGCAGAATTAGGAAGTCCCTCCCCCTCCCACAAACTCTCTTCTGAGGAAACGAAACTGATCTCTGTCGCTGTGTTATCTCTCTGTGTGAGAGTGAACAACAACAGTCCAAATGGCTCAGCAGTGAGTTCTGCTGGACCAGGACCAGTTCTGTTGTTCTGTCTGTCTGGATCTACTGAAGGAGCCGGCTATTCCTTGTGGACACAGTTACTGTAGAAGCTGTATTGAGGGCTACTGGGATCAGGATGATCAGGGCATCTACAGCTGTCCTCAGTGCAAGCAGACCTTCACTCCGAGGCCTACTCTGAGGAAAAATAACATGTTGGCTGAGGTGGTGGAGACAATGAAGAAGACAGGACTCCAGGCTGCTCCCCCTGCTCTGTTCTATGCTGGACCTGGAGATGTGGCGTGTGATTTCTGCACTGGGACCAGAAAGCAGAAAGCCCTCATGTCCTGTCTGGTGTGTCTGGTGTCTTACTGTGAGACTCACCTCCAACCTCACTATGAATCTCCTGGTTTCAAGAAGCACACATTGGTTAAAGCCACCACACAACTACAGGAGAAGATCTGCTCTCATCATGACAAACTGCTGGAGGTTTACTGTCGTACCGATCAACAGTGTATCTGTTATCAGTGTGTGATGGATGAACATAAAGGCCATGATACAGTGTCAGCTGCAGCAGAGAGGACTGAGAAACAGGTTAGACCAGAACAACTTGTTGGTAACTCTCTGATAAACACAGAATTAAAGACACAGTAAGAAGGTTGGTTTAATAGGAGAGAAAAATAAACATAGTTATTCAAATTAAATCTATCCACAGCAGAAGAATTGTGAACACGGGTGGCAGGTAGCCTACTGGTTAATAGCGTTGGGCCAGTAACTGAAAGGCTGTTGGTCTGAATCCCCGAGCCGACTATGTGAAAAATCTGTCAATGTGCCCTTGAGCAAGTCACTTGACCCTAATTGCTCATCTAAGTCACTCTCGATAAAAGCATTTTCTAAAGTAAAAAAAAACATAATTCTGAATGCACTTTCATGAGCCTAATGTTTAGTCTCTCTGATTCATGTTGTGTACTGTAAAAACTATAATCATTCAACTGTGTAATAACTGTTTGCTAAGTGATTGACAGGTAATGTAGGTGAGAACATAGGTTAAGATGGCTGGCTTTTTTTAACAAACAACATAGATCATAGTTTTCCAAAGGGACTTTCTCAAGATTCATCCCTACCCTGTTAGTTGCTTTACTAGTGAACTATTGGACACATACATCTTGGTAGCTCAATGAAGAGTGTTTCTCCACAGAGTCAGCTGGGGATGAGTCAGCAGAAGGTCCAGCAGAGAGTCCAGGAGAGAGAAAAGGTGCTGAAGGAGCTCCAACAGGCTGTGGAGTCTCTCAAGGTGAGTATTATTATTGACCAGAGGAGATGCACCATTTCACTTCCCTCCTCCAGGCAGTCAGTAAGAGAGAGAGGGCACTCTCCAGTCCCACTGTCTGAGTCCCACTGTAGGTAACATGCTGTCTGGGTTCCCAGTTAGAGAGGGAATAGACTTATTAAAATGGAGCCTTCTCTCTCCTCTGCGAGCTGCTCTCTCTCTCTTCATCTCTCTCTCTCTCTCTCTCTCTCTCTCCCTCCTCTCTCTCTCTCTCTCTCTCTCTCTCTCTCTCTCTCTCGCTCTCTCCTAACAGCATTCTGCAAAGGCAGCAGTGGATGACAGTGAGAGTATCTTTACTGAGCTAATCCGCTCCATGGAGAGAAGGTGCTCTGAGGTGAAGGAGCTGATCAGAACCCAGGAGAAGGCTGAAGTGAGTCGAGCTGAAGGACTCCTGGAGCAACTGGAGCAGGAGATAGCTAAGCTGAGGAGGAGAGGTGATGAGCTGGAGCAGCTCTCACACACAGAGGATCACATTCATTTCCTTCAGGTAACTATACTGCCTTGTTACACCTATAGATGATATTAAAATAAAGTTACAGTAATGTGAAACTCTCTCTCTCACTCATTCTCTCACTCATTCTCCCTATCTCCCTCTCTCTCTCTCTCTCTCTCTCTCTCTCTCTCTCTCTCTCTCTCTCTCTCTCTCTCCCTCCCTCTATCTCTCTCTGTCTCACTCTCTTTCTATCTCTCGCCTCCCTCTCTCTCTCTCCAGAGTGATCGTTCTCTCTCCAGTCCCAGTGTATCTTTAGACTTACCCAGCATCGTTGTCTGTCCTCTTCAGTGCTTTGGAGATGTGAGTAAGTCTGTGTCTGAGCTGAGAGAGAAAGTAGAAGACCTCCTTAAAGGAGAATGGACCAAGATCTCCACTACAGGTGGGTTGTAAATACTAAGGCTGCATTTACACAGGTGACCCAATTCTGATCTTTTGCCCAATTATTGGTCTTTTGACCAATCAGATCAGATATTTTGCCAGTAATTGGGCAAAAGATCAGAATTGGGCCGCCTGTGTAAACGAAGCCCATTACTTAAATACAAAAACTCTTAACTTTCTTAACTATTGTATGAACTATTTATATCATGTTACCACTGCTCACAAACCAAATGTCCCTCTGGAGACAATAAAGTTTGATCGATTGATTATAATAGCATCAACTTATTCTTATTAAAGGTCCTACAGCCATCAAATACAGCATGAAATTGTCATCCTGTGTCCTCCTGTCTCTCTGTCTCTTTCTAGGAATGGCCGGTCGTAACAACCACAGCTCCCAGATGAAAGCTGCCCTGCAGCAAGACGACCCCATGGAGGACAAGGACAGGGGTCAGGGGGTCAAACGCCGCCCAAGCAGCGAGTTCCCTGTTGGAAACCTGGTCGACATTGACGACACTCCGGTCACCAAATCACCGCACGGAGACAGTGAGAGAGAAAGAGATGGAGAAAGGGAGAAAGAGGGAGGAAGACAGAGACAGAAAGAGAGGGAAAGAGAAAGAGAAAGGGAGAAGAAGAGGGATGGAGGAAGGGAAAGACAGATGGAGGGGGCGAGGGAAGGAGAGAGGGATGGAGGAAGGGAAGGAGAGATGGAGGGTGGCGAGGGTAGGAGAGAGGGATGGAGGAAGGGAAGGAGAGATGGATGGAGTAAGGGAAAGAGAGATGGAGGGGGCGAGGGAAGGAGAGAGGGATGGAGGAAGGGAAGGAGAGATGGAGGTGGCGAGGGTAGGAGAGAGGGATGGAGGAAGGGAAGGAGAGATGGAGGTGGCGAGGGTAGGAGAGAGGGATGGAGGAAGGGAAGGAGAGATGGAGTGGGCGAGGGAAGGAGAGAGGGATGGAGTAAGGGAAAGAGAGATGGAGGGGGCGAGGGAAGGAGAGAGGGATGGAGGAAGGGAAGGAGAGATGGAGGGGGCGAGGGAAGGAGAGAGGGATATAGGGTTGGAAAGAGAGAGGGGGAGAGAGGGAGCGAGGGCTGAGGAGGAGAAGAGGTCGTGCTGCTCTCTCTCTGAGCTGAAGAAAGTCCCTAAGTGTTACGTGGAGCTGGAGCCACTGTCCTTCAGCAGAACTCACACCGTCCTCATAGATGTAAGACTCTCTGACATCGCTCTGTCTGGTTTGAATGACTGTGTGTCTTTTTTTGTTTGTGATTATGGAGAGAATGAGGAGGAGGAGGTAGAGAGAGATCGTTAAAACAGCTCAATAAAAAATATCGTATTTAAAGCGACAGAGTGAACTGGATCTTTTACACCAGAAAATAAACTACAATGGAGTTTTGAAATCATTGCTTTCTCTCACAGATCATTCATGTCTCTCTCTACCTTCCCTATTCAGGTGAATGAGATCCACCCTAAATCGACATTAAAAGCTCAGTCTGGACAGCATGTGTGGAACAGGGACTTTGTTAAGATGCCCTGCTCACCAGAAAGCCTCATCAAGACTGGATCGGTGGGTTCATTGATTGATTCATTTACTGATTAATTTAGACATTTTGTCGATTGATTGGTTCATTGAATGCTTCGTTGATTGGTTAATTGGTTGAGTGGTTAGTTGGTTGATTGGTCAGTTGGTTGATTGATTGGTTAGTTGCTTGATCAGTTAGTTGGTTGATTGGTTATGCATTATTTGTCGATTGATTGGTTTATTGAATGTTTGGTTGATTGATTCATTGATTGATTGGTTTGTTGGCTGAATTATTGATTTTTAGTAGGTTGAGTGGTTAGTTGGTTGAGTGGTTAGTTGGTTGAGTGGTTAGTTTGTTGATTGGTAAGTTGGTTGAGTGGTAAGTTAGTTGATTGGTCAGTTGGTTGATTGATTGGTTAGTTGCTTGATTGTTAAGTTGGTTAATTGGTTAGTTGCTTGATTGCTTATACAGTATTTGTCGATTGATTGGTTTATTGAATGTTTAGTTGATTGGTTAATTGATTGATTGGTTTGTTGGCTGAATTATTGATTTGTTAGTAGATTGCATGGTTAGTTGGTTTAGTGGTTAGTTGGTTGATTGGTCAGTTGCTTGAATGGTTAGTTGGTTGATTGGTTAGTTGGTTGATTGGTTAGTTGGTTGATTGGTTAGTTGGTTGATTGGTCAGTTGATTGATTTACTTTTCCCAGGTAATCAGCTTTGAGCGAGGTCGGTGGGAGGTGGTCTTTAAACAACTGGATAGTCTGGCCAAGAAGACCACTGCATCAGTGGGTGACGTAGAGGTACGACACAAACACACACACACACACTCATTTACATTTACATTTACGTCATTTAGCAGACGCTCTTATCCAGAGCGACTTACAAATTGGTGCATTCACCTTATAGCCAGTGGGATAACCACTTTACAATTTCTTTTTTTGGGGGGGTGGGGTGGGGTAAGGGGGGGTAGAAGGATTACTTTATCCTATCCCAGGTATTCCTTAAAGAGGTGGGGTTTCAAATGTCTCCGGAAGGTGGTGAGTGACTCCGCTGTCCTGGCGTCGTGAGGGAGCTTGTTCCACCATTGGGGTGCCAGAGCAGCGAACAGTTTTGACTGGGCTGAGCGGGAACTGTGCTTCCGCAGAGGTAGGGGAGCCAGCAGGCCAGAGGTGGATGAACGCAATGCCCTCGTTTGGGTGTAGGGAATGATCAGAGCCTGAAGGTAAGGAGGTGCCGTTCCCCTCACAGCTCCGTAGGCAAGCACCATGGTCTTGTAGCAGATGCAAGCTTCAACTGGAAGCCAGTGGAGTGTGCGGAGGAGCGGGGTGACGTGAGAGAACTTGGGAAGGTTGAACACCAGACGGGCTGCGGCATTCTGGATGAGTTGTAGGGGTTTAATGGCACATGCAGGGAGCCCAGCCAACAGCGAGTTGCAGTAATCCAGACGGGAGATGACAAGTGCCTGGATTAGGACCTGTGCCGCTTCCTGTGTAAGGCAGGGTCGTACTCTCCGAATGTTGTAGAGCATGAACCTACAGGATCGGGTCACCGCCTTGATGTTAGCGGAGAACGACAGGGTGTTGTCCAGGGTCACGACAAGGCTCTTCGCACTCTGGGAGGAGGACACAACGGAGTTGTCAACCGTGATGGCGAGATCATGGAACGGGCAGTCCTTCCCCGGGAGGAAGAGCAGCTCCGTCTTGCCAAGGTTCAGCTTGAGGTGGTGATCCGTCATCCACACTGATATGTTTGCCAGACATGCAGAGATGCGATTCGCCACCTGGTTATCAGAAGGGGGAAAGGAGAAGATTAGTTGTGTGTCGTCTGCGTAGCAATGATAGGAGAGGCCATGTGAGGATATGACAGAGCCAAGTGACTTGGTGTATAGCGAGAATAGGAGAGGGCCTAGAACTGAGCCCTGGGGGACACCAGTGGTGAGAGCACGTGGTGCGGAGACAGCTTCTCGCCACGCCACTTGGTAGGAGCGACCGGTCAGGTAGGACGCAATCCAAGAGTGAGCCGCGCCGGAGATGCCCAACTCGAAGAGGGTGGAGAGGAGGATCTGATGGTTCACAGTATCAAAGGCAGCAGACAGGTCTAGAAGGACAAGAGCAGAGGAGAGAGAGTTAGCTTTAGCAGTGCGGAGAGCCTCCGTGACACAGAGACGAGCAGTCTCAGTTGAATGACCAGTCTTGAAACCTGACTGGTTTGGATCAAGAAGGTCATTCTGAGAGAGATAGCAAGAGAGTTGGCCAAAGACGGCACGCTCAAGAGTTTTGGAGAGAAAAGAAAGAAGGGATACTGGTCTGTAGTTGTTGACATCAGAGGGATCGAGTGTTGGTTTTTTGAGAAGGGGTGCAACTCTCGCTCTCTTGAAGACGGAAGGGACATAGCCAGCGGTCAAGGATGAGTTGATCAGCAAGGTGAGGTAAGGGAGAAGGTCACCGGAGATGGTCTGGAGAAGAGAGGAGGGGATAGGGTCAAGCGACAGGTTGTTGGGCGGCCGGCCGTCACAAGTCGCAAGATTTTATCTGGAGAGAGAGGGGAGAAAGAAGTCAAAGCATAGGGTAAGGCAGTGTGAGCAGGACCAGTAATGTCATTTGACTTAACAAACGAGGATCGGATGTCGTCAACCTTCTTTTCAAAATGGTTGACGAAGTAATCCACAGAGAGGGAGGAGGGGGGGAGGGGGGGGAGGATTCAGCAGGGAGGAGAAGGTGGCAAAGAGCTTCCTAGGGTTAGAGGCAGATGCTTGGAATTTAGAGTGGTAGAAAGTGGCCTTAGCAGCAGAAACAGATGAAGAAAATGTAGAGAGGAGGGAGTGAAAAGATGTCAGGTCCGCAGGGAGTCTAGTTTTCCTCCATTTCCGCTCAGCTGCCTGGAGCCCTGTTCTGTGAGCTCGCAATGAGTCATCAAGCCACGGAGCTGGATGGGAGGACCGAGCCGGCCGGGAGGATAGGGGACATAGAGAGTCAAAGGATGCAGAAAGGGAGGAGAGGAGGGTTGAGGAGGCAGAATCAGGAGATTGGCGGGAGAAGGATTGAGCAGAGGGAATAGATGATAGGATGGAAGAGGAGAGAGTAGCGGGAGAGAGAGAGCGAAGGTTGCGACGGCGCATTACCATCTGAGTAGGGGCAGAGTGAGTAGTGTTGGAGGAGAGCGAGAGAGAAAAGGATACAAAGTAGTGGTCGGAGACATGGAGGGGAGTTGCAGTGCCCCTATTATCCTAACATTTCCTAACATGCCTCCTCATGTTAACTTGGGTTTGGGGTAACAGTTAAGGTAGGGGTTAGCATGTTTGACCAGTACTGTGTAACTATGATCTTCATGTTTCTCTCCACTTAGAAAGCCATAAAGAAATACAACCCAAAGTATGAAAACCAATGGTCCTTTGATGCCCTGCACACCTTTGTTCAGGTCAGTTACAAGTTCACTGTGAATGGTCAACACTCTCTAATGGTGTTGTTGTGTATAATTAAGCAATAAGGCATGAGAACCCAGGATTATCGTCTGAATAACTTCCGATTAAGGCCTGACACGGAGCGGAGGGCCGGGGTGTTATTCCTAATAATTCCCGGGTTCGAGGGCCTTATTGCTTTTGTAAAACGGTTACCAACAAAGATGAATGACATGTTTTAATTGAAAAAGTATTTATTTCATTCTTCCACCAGACATTATAGTCCAGGCAAAATCCACTGTGGGATTCTGAAGTTGCTAGCCAAACAAGCTGGTTCTCCATTCCAAATGTTCTAAGCAAAAATGGTTGCCATGAAGGCTAGCTACTTCTCCTTTGCTAGCTAGACAACTAAGGCCTAGATTCAATCAGATCAAGCGTTAACCGGCGATAGCAGACACCTGCATTGCAGATGTTTGGCGTGTCGGATGTGGAACTGGGTTGGAGCCATCAAATTGGTGAGCAGCTGCTCTTGCGATCATTGTCACACCCATCCCACTCGCGTTTAGAACGAGAAAGTGTAGTCTATATAGAAATAATTACGCTCAAACTGAAAAATCATTCAACAAAATATTTATGATTTCTATTATCCTAATTGAGGTGTAGATTACATCTCACATTCCAGTGTTCGAACTTGTAAACAAGGCTGCATGGGATTGCAACCTGATCTCAGAGCATTTCGTGTTATTCCGTAGGTAAATCCAAGACACTCCATGTAGTATGATATGTTACGTTTCGGATGGTATGTATTAATTTGTGGATGTCCATCACCCATTTCGTATCAAATCAAATTGTATTTGTCACATGCGCCGAATACAACAGGTCTAGTAGACCTTACCGTGAAATGCTTACTTACAAGCCCTTAACCAACAATGCAGTTTTAAGAAAAATAAGAGTTAAGAAAATATTTACTGAATAAACTAAAGTAAAACAATAAAAGAGCAACAGTCCGGGTAGCCATTTGATTAGCTGTTAAGCAGTCTCATGGCTTGGGGGTAGAAGCTGTTAAGAAGCCTTTTGGACCTAGACTTGGCGCCCGGTACTGCTTGCCATGCGGTAGCAGAGAGAACAGTCTATGACTAGGGTGGCTGGAGTCTTTGGCTATTTTTAGGGCCTTCCCCTGACACTGCCTGGTATAGAGGTCGTTGGATGGCAGGAAGCTTGGCCCCATTGAAGTGCTGGGCGGACGCACTACCCTCTGTAGCGCCTTGCGGTCGGAGGCCGAGTAGTTGCCATACCAGGCAGTGATGCAACCAGTCAGGATGCTCTCGATGGTGCAGCTGTATAACTTTTTGAGGATCTGCGAACCCATGCCAAATCTTGTTCAGTCTCCTGAGGGGGAATAGGCATTGTCGTTCCCTCTTCACGACTGTCTTGGTGTGTTTGGACCATGATAGTTTGTTGGTGATGTGGACACCAAGGAACTTGAAGCTCTCAACCTGCTCCACTACAGCCCCGTCAATGAGAATGGGGAAGTGCTCGACCCTACTTTTCCTGTAGCCCACGATCATCTCCATTGTCTTGATCATGTTGAGGGAGAGGTTGTTGTCCTGCCACCACACTGCCAGGTCTCTGACCTCCTCCCTATAGGCTGTCTCATCGTTGTTGGTGATCAGGCCTACCACCGTTGTGTCATCGGCAAACTTAGTGATGGTGTTGGAGTCGTGCTTGGCCACGCAGTCATGGGTGAACAGGGAATACAGGAGGGAACTAAGCACGCACCCCTGAGGGGCCCCCGTGTTGAGGATCAGCATGGCAGATGTGTTGCTGCCTACCCTTACCACCTGGGGGCGGCCCGTCAGGAAGTCCAGGATCCAGTTGCATAGGGAGGTGTTTAGACCCAGGGTCCTTAGCTTAGTGATGAGCATTGAGGGCACTATGGTGTTGAACACTGAGCTGTAGTCAATGAATACTGATATGATACTGTATGTTACAAATTACAATTCGTATATTTTGTGTTACGAATTTTCAAAAAGCACAATATGTTACAAATTTGCAAAACGTGTTATATGTTAGAATTTGCTAAACATACAATATGTTATTAATTTTCTAAAAGTACAATATGTTATGAATTTTCAAAACATATGATATGTTACGAATTCTAGCTAGGTGGCTAGGTGCTAATGTTAGCTAGCTCGCTAACGTTAGCTAGGCTAGTGGTTAGGGTTAGGAGTTAGGGTTAAGTTTAGGAGTTTGGTTATAGGGTTGAGGTTAGGGTTAGCTAAAAGGGTTAAGATTATGGTTAGGTGAAGGTTTAGCTAAAATGCTAAAGTTGTCCATGATGAGATTCGAACTCGCAAACTTTGGGCTGCTAGATGTTCTCATTATACACCCACGCATCCACCCTGACCAACCACCCTACTTTAATTTTTGCGTTAAGTAACCATCTGTCTTATGTAATCATACCAAACGTAACATATCATACTAAATGGTTGTCTCGGATTTACATACAGAATAATTCGTTCTGAGACCAGGTTGGGGATTTCACTTAATGCGACTCCATGCAGCCATTGTCAATGTCCGCTTTAGGTATAATGCCAGGAACTACTTGTGCATTAGACAGCGCTAACGCAGTTCCACCTCTGACACTGTCAAAACAACCATTATGGATGTTGGCTAAAGTGGATCTGATTGAATAGAGCCCTAAAGCTAACACACAATCATATCAAGCAGCTGAAATTACAGCCAGCTATGTCCATTTTCATTTGTTTTACGTTTGTTTCTATTGCCATTTATTTTGATGTTTCCATTATAATGATCCTGATAAATGAATTGGCCTGGCTCAGAGAAGCTGTCAGTCTCGTCATGTTCAATCTCTCTATGGCACGGTGGAGATCGCAAAAAAATACTACATTGTTGCACAGGTTGGAGAGGCAGGCAGCAATGTTTAGACAAACCCCAGCTGTTGCAAAGAAAATGCTAGCCTAGTAGCATGGGAAAATAATGTCTAGACACTTTTTTCCATGGGAGATTAAGTTTATAAATTGCCTGGCTGGGCTGTGGGACAGTGGATGCACATTGATAATTCAAATGGAACTGTTAACAGGCATTACCCAGGGATTGTGGTGAATAACTCCCTGCAATCAACCAATCAGCATCCAGGACCCAAACAACCCATTTTACAATTATATATATTCTCCTCTCCCTCTCTCCTCTAGTTTATAATGATATATATTCTCCTCTCCCTCTCACCTCTAGGAAGCGCCTAAAGAAGAGAACTACTACACTTCTGTTTTTCCTAAGATAGCAGAGCTGGCCTCCAGACTGCCTCACCATATCAAGAAGGTAACAACATAGGAACTGAATGATGTACACAATGTAGGCTACAGAAATAGTGCACTAGAGTACAGAGGTAGTGTACTATGTAGGGTACAGAGGTAGTGTACTATGGTACAGAGTTAGTGTACTGTGTAGGGTACAGAGGTAGTGTACTAGGGTACAGAGGTAGTGTACTATGTAGGGTACAGAGGTAGTGTACTATGTAGAGTACAGAGGTAGTGCACTAGGGTACAGAGGTAGTGTATTATATAGGGTACAGAGGTAGTGTACTATGTAGGGTACAGAGGTAGTGTACTATGTAGGGTACAGATTGTAGAGGTACTCTATGTGTCTTCCCTACTCAGTCTGATAACATTTTTACATTTTACATTTTTGTCATTTAGCAGACGCTCTTATCCAGAGCAATTAGGGTTAAGTGCCTTGCTCAAGGGCACATCGACAGATTTTTCACTTAGTCGGCTCGGGGATTAGAACCAGTGACCTTTCGGTTACTGGCACAACGCTCCTAACCACTAAGCTACCTGCCACCTGTTAAATGTTTGTGTGTGTGTGTGTGTGTGTGTGTGTGGTGTGTGTGTGTGTGTGTGTGTGTGTGTGTGTGTGTGTGTGTGTGTGTGCGTGTGTGCGTGCGTGCGTGCGTGCGTGCGTGCGTGCGTGCGTGCGTGCGTGCGTGCGTGCGTGCGTGCGTGCGTGCGTGCGTGCGTGCGTGCGTGCGTGTGTCTAACTGTGTGTGTGTGTCTAACTGTGTGTGTGTGTAGGCCATTCCCCTGCTCCAGAGAGGCCAGACTCATTCCATCACGTTGTCCCAGAGTCAGATAGCTTGTCTGCTGGCCAATGCCTTCTACTGCACCTTCCCCCACCGCAACTCCCCCAACCCCAGAGCAGAGTACAACAACTACCCCACCATCAACTTTAACAGGTCAGAATACACACAACAAACTCCACTGAGGACCCACACACATAGAGACAAACACTAAGTATTCCAACTTCAACAGATGATAACATGTGACCACTGTATCTCTCTGTGTTGTCAGTCTGTTTGGAAAGTGGTCTGAGAGGAAGAGAGAGAAGCTGAGAGCCATCCTTCATTACTTCCACACTGTCACAGACCAAGGTAAGTTACTACCACACACTACTATAGTCACTATAATGACTGGAATACAAGTACTGTAGTGTACTTTAGGGTACTATGTAGGTTACAGGAACCTATTTAAGACATAGTCTGATGAGTGTAGATGAGGAATACCCTCTGATAATAGTTGCTGTGGGAACCAGGTTTACCTGAGCTTTGACCCTTGTTGTTGTCATGACAGCGACCAGGCCCAGTGGACTGGTGACCTTTGAGAGGCGCTACATCAGCGACAGAGACATGCCCAACTGGAGGAGGTACATACACACAGACACACACACACACACACACACACAGACACACACACACACAGACCAACTTAATTTGTCCCCTCTTCTATTTCTCTGTGTGTCAGTTGTAAGGAGACTGTTCCTAAACTCCACGTCACCTCAGCAGGCTGCATAGAGGAACAGGGAACAGGGATGCTACAGGTTGGTGACAGCTCCAGGCTTGTGTATGTGTGTGTGTGTGTGTGTGTGTGTAAAAAATGTTTTGTGTGTGTGGTGGTTTGTGTATGTGTACTAATGTGTGTGTGTGTAATGCTGGGGACATACTGAACTATACTTGAAGACCAGAAGTCCCCACAAGAATAGTAAACAAACAAACATTTGACCAACTGGGGACATTTTGTTAGTTGGGTTAAGGTTAGAGTTAGGGTTTGGGTAAGGTTTAGGGTTAGGGTTAGGGTTAGGGTTAGGATTAGGGGTTAAGGAAAATAGGATTTTGAATGGGACTGAATTTTGTGTGTGTATGTGTGTGTTGCAGGTGGACTTTGCCTGTAAGATGATAGGAGGTGGAGTTTTGGGCTCAGGTCTGGTTCAGGAGGAGATTCTGTTCCTGATGAACCCAGAACTCATCGTATCTCGACTCTTCACTGAGAGACTAGGAGACAACGAGTGTCTCTTCATCACAGGTGTGTGTGTGTGTGTGTGTGTGTGTATGTGTGTGCGTGTGTGTGTGATCACAGGTTATACCTACCACCCTTTATAACTCTCCCCCTCTCTCTCTGTCACGTCTTATCTCTCTCTCTCTCTCTCTCTCTCTCTCTCTCTCTCTCTCTCTCTCTCTCTCTCTCTCTCTCTCTCTCTCTCTCTCTCTCTCTCTGTAGGCTCTCAACAGTTCAGTCAGTACAGTGGCTACAGCGACTCTTTTAAGTGGAAAGGGCCTCACAGAGACAACATTGAGAGGTGAGCACACACACACACACACACTCACTAAAATCCCTGATTGCGCTGCCTGTGTTTGCAGGGATGAATGGCAGAGGCTACACAGGCAGATTGTAGCCATGGATGCTCTCCACTTCAGACACCAGAGAGAACAGTACAACATGAGACAGGTCACCAGGGAACTCAACAAGGTGAGAGACAACCCTCCTCTCCTGTAGGGGACAGACTGCAGCTGATTAGTAGAATCAGGTGTGCTAGCTAGAGCAGGGCTGGAGATAAATCTGATGTCGGTGGTCTCCTGTGATATCCTCCCTCAGGCGTACTGTGGCTTTAAGGCAGGTGACAACACTCACCCAGACCTCCTTCCTGACATCGCCACGGGCAACTGGGGCTGCGGAGCCTTCAATGGAGACCCCAAACTTAAAGGTAGCCCTAACTGTTGACCCTGGCTCCTAACCCCCCAAACACTAACTCAACTCTACCCACAGGATATTCTACATAGACCCACTCTGAAAATTCACAGAAAATGATACTGTGATCTGATTGGTTGTTTTTACCCTCCCAGCTCTGATCCAGCTGATGGCTGCAGCCAGGGCTCAGAGGGGCGTGGCCTTCTTCACCTTCAAGAACTTCAGTTTGGAGAGAGAGCTGCAGAACATGCACCACCTACTGGTCACACACAGAACTACAGTGGGTGAGTTAGTACACACAGAACTACAGTGGGTGAGTTAGTACACACACAACTACAGTAGGTGAGTTAGTACACACAGAACTATAGTGGGTGAGTTAGTACACACAGAACTACAGTAGGTGAGTTAGTACACACAGAACTACAGTGGGTGAGTTAGTACACACACAACTACAGTAGGTGAGTTAGTACACACACAACTACAGTAGGTGAGTTAGTACACACAGAACTATAGTGGGTGAGTTAGTACACACAGAACTACAGTAGGTGAGTTAGTACACACAGAACTACAGTGGGTGAGTTAGTACACACACAACTACAGTAGGTGAGTTAGTACACACAGAACTATAGTGGGTGAGTTAGTACACACAGAACTACAGTGGGTGAGTTAGTACACACATAACTACAGTGGGTGAGTTAGTACACACAGAACTACAGTAGGTGAGTTAGTACACACAGAACTACAGTAGGTGAGTTACCATAGATAGTACACACAGAACTACAGTGGGTGAGTTACCATAGTACAGACTCAGAACTACAGTAGATGAGTTACCATAGATAGCAGACACACAGGACTACAGTGGGTGAGTAACTATAGCAACTATTAGACTACAGGAGGTGAAACCTGATCTGAAAGTCCTCCTTCCCTTTACTGTGTTTAGTCAAACCTCATATCCTCTTAGTGGCTGTGTAAATAAAGTTTGATTGATTGATTCCTCTCCCCTGTCTCAGGTAAACTGTATGAGTTGCTGGATGACTACTGTGCTGTGATACAGTTGGCTCACACACATGTGGACCTGTTTGACTGGATCAGGAACACCCTGAAACACAGGAGTCAGCTGTGAGGACACATCTCAATCCTCTAAAGGAGCTTCCTTTCCTTGTCTCCTTTCCTTTTTAGCATTATTGAGATGCACCCCAGAGATAGAGTGGCTCTATGAATGATCTGTGGATAGAAACATGGTACAATTCCAAGTAGTGGTTGATTATGAATGTGTTTGTCTTTTCACTACTACACATTTCCTAAATCAAACTGAGAAGGTATACAGGGCTTTATAACTGATGCACACTGACATATTTAGTTAATAATATATAATATGCCATTTAGCAGACGCTTTTATCCAAAGCGACTTACAGTCATGTGTGCATACATTTTTACGTATGGGGGGTCCCGGGGATCAAACCCACTACTCTGGCGTTACAAGCGCCATGCTCTACCAATTGAGCTACAGAGGACCACCCAATGGAGATAGGGGTATGAACATGTGGGTGAGCAGTTGGGATGTATTCGATGTTTGTGTACATCTGTATGTTGGCGTGCATATGTGTATGTTTGTAATTGTTTGGGGAAAAAGTTAATGAATAAATTATAAATATAAAAGAATAATGCAACCTCACCACGCTTGCTAAATACCCCTATGGGCAGACCTGTACAATAATCAATTTGCTCTTTGCTCACCAATGGGCGTAAATCTTGTGATGTATTTAAATGATGGCTTACCCCTGTTCTGTCTCTCAGCGTCTTGCAGCAACAGTGTTACCGAATTCTGTTCTCCTTAAATAAAGTATAGACGTTTGCCATCGTTTTTAGAGCTCACCAACATTCACTCACTCACTCACTCACTCACTCACCACACACACACACACACACACACACACTCACCTTACACTCTTTCTGTGATGTATGTTCAGTATGTTCTTCTCTGGTAGTACAGTAAGATTTTACAAACAAACAAACAGGTAATTAATTCTGTGTCTTTTCTGCGGGGATTTTATGTGTGTGTGGGAGTGTGTGTGTCAGCCACAATGATCAAAGCAGTCAACATGCTCAAAAAAGCCACAGTGCTAATAACAGCGACAAATTAAAAAGTTAATTATGAAGAGGAATTTATTACTGGATTATAAAGCGGAATTTATTAATCATTTTATAAAAATAAATAATAATTCTAGAGTATTTTACACTACACTTCATGTTTATCACAGCAGGCTGCTGAGAGGAGAATGGCTCATAATAATGTCCGGAACGGCGCAAATGGAAGGGCATCAAACACATTGATGAAGATTTTTTAGTAAACTATTGGATAAACAAAGTTAAATCACAGACGTTACGAACATATAGTCAGGATTCTCTGTTGCTAGGCAAGAACTTTAATGGTTCCTTTCACTGGGCTTGGGTGTGTGTGTGAAGTGGGGATCTGACCTAGGCTCGAATTGCTCGCTCTTACCTAATCCATGGCTGTCCTACCTTATCAGAGACTGAAACCAGACTGTTGCGTAATGCATCTCTCCTCAAACAAAGTAGAAAGAGCGGCGCCAGAGTTGAACAGAGTTTAGACTAATCATGAGTAATTATAGCATGACGGGAGGGAAGAGAGGAGTGGGTTTGGGTACGTTTGAGAGATAGAGTGTGGACCTGTCATGTCCAACAATCAATCTTCAGGTCAAGCCAGGGTGAGCCGGGGTTGAACAGAGTTGAAACTGAACATGATTGTTTTTAGCTTGACAAGGGCGTGATTGATTGTAATAATATTGTTTCTAAACTCAATGAAAGTCAAATTTAGCCCTATCATAGACTAAGGATGTGGACGGAGCGGTAGAGAGAGGGAAACTGAAGATAATGGTGGGGGAACCTACGGGCTTTTTTAAAATTATTTTTTATTTTTATTTTACCTTTATTTAACTAGGCAAGTCAGTTAAGAACAAATTCTTATTTACAATGACGGCCTACACCGGCCAAACCCGGAAGACGCTGGGCCAATTGTGCGCCGCCCTATGGGATTCCCAATCACGGCCGGTTGTGATACAGCCTGGAATCGAACCAAGGGGGTTCTTTAAGCTAAGATGTATGTGAATATGATTATATAAACGGAGAGCTGAGAGGTAGAGGGGAGGTGCTCTGCAGATCATCTCGGCTTCCGAGCAAATGGGGGAACAACTCAATATTAACATACTTTTGGTCATGTAGTATAGATGTCTACCATGTCCATCCGACCTGGGGCCCAGGCTCGATTCTTTCTGAATAAATATTATGAACCCTCTGCACAGATGATTCCCTGGGAACGCGGAAAGAGAATGTTTTTTTTATTTTCTTGTCAGTGAGTGCACAACCTCAAATCTACACAGAACTAGTCAACTTGTCTTGAATAGTACAGGTGTAGGATCTTAATTTGATCAATATTTTGTTGCTGAGAATTTTCCTGTAGACTTGATTTGCCCTAAAGAAAAATGTATCAACCCCTACAAAAATGTCCATGAATTATAATCCACATAATAATTCACATTTCCAGTTGCTGCAGGATTATTGTATTGCTGTAGCAACACATGCTCAAATTAAAGATCCTACAGCTGTAGTCCAACCACAAATACTGTTTGTTTGACCAATAATCCTTGATTGTACTAATAATTGACTACAAAAGAGCAGATATTGGCCTATATAAATCATAACTTACAATTAACATCAAACTGACTTGAAACAAGTTTTTGGAATAACATTTTCAATATATTTCCTTAAACATCCTGTGTTGTGTGCTTATTCTTTAACCATTTTTATGTTCTAGGTCATTTTGAGACCTTGGAGCGCTGGGCCCGGTTGCATAAAACATCTTAAGTTAATTTTCCCCTTATCTTTTCCCTTAAAGTTTCCTTAACTTTAAGTACATTGCACCAAACATTTTAAGGCGAATTTCCCCCTTAAATTAAGTGAAAAAGTTAAGGGTGCCCATGAAGTCCCTTAAGTGCTTCATTCAGTATGGATATGTCAATGTCAATAGCATTTGTTGAAGTGAATGTTGCTTTCCTCTGCCCTGGTTTCAAAAGGAAAACATCCACCAACTAGCGTAGAATCCCGTATTATCGGCATATTCAACAGCGTTTAAGAAATATATTACCTTCAACAGTGTTATCTTGTGATCAAGCCTTCAATGTTTTGTGATTATTGGTGTCGTAAAAATGTTAGCTAACGGTTTAGCAATTAGCAAGTTTGACATTTCATTTGAAATATTACTGTTATCTGCTTTTGATAAGCGGTTTAGCAAAAAAATACGTCCCGTATTATCTGTATACGGCCCCCAGTTATTGGGCACCTTACTATTTTGTTCAATTACAAGATATATCCGTTTAATTTTGTTGAAAAAAGAGACACCAACCACGTACCCGAAGTGTTTACTAGATAGTTGACTAGTTGGCTAGTCTTCCGGTAAAAAATAATGATTTGCCTGTCAACTTTTCATTGCGTAGCCCGGTGCGCCCTCTTGTGGACTCTTAAAAAATTGTTTTTCACCAACATATTCACTGTTGTAACCAAATGAAATATGAGTATTAATAATTTACATCAAATACACTTTAATTTCAGTTATGTGCATTAACATAAAACAATGAAAACACTGTTGGAGTTTGTGTTGCAGAGGTGCACTTGGAAAGTAAAGGAAGAAATACACAAGATGGGTTCAATAAATATATATATTATATTTTAGACATTTATTTTTTTGAACAAATAAATAATTTCATATGAACACAAACAAAACAAACAATTAAATCTCGACCTCCATCCCTATATTGTCACAAAAATCACAATAAAAATCCAGCTCCACCGCTACCTCTTGATCCCACTGCACACACTTGCAGTGGAACCAGTGCTGGCAAAAGTCACAGCACACCCATGGCACCTCGGATCTACACTCCTGAGAGGAGCTTGCAGGCGGATCACGCTCCCCGCAGCGAGCACAGCAGGTGGTGTCTTCTTTTATAAAAATTAAATAATAATACAAATTGATTAATATGGTTTTGCAAAATGTAGAAGTTCTTCAACAACAATAGTAATTGATACAACTGAGAGAGTGAGAAAAACAGATTATGAAGTACCTGAGAGTGGTGCCATGGGTGGTGTGACAGATGTGACCGGTGTAGCTTTTCTCTTCCTTTTCTGTGCTGCAGTTTGAGAAAAAGTAGTGTTAGACAGAGCATGTTGCATGAAAACCCTTTTCAACTTTTTTACATCAATACCTCTGGAGGAAGCTGCAGAGGTTTTGGAGGAGGCGGAGATGACTTGAGGGCTGGTGCTATGTACTGTAGATATATAAAGATATATATATATATATATTTTTTACATTGCTGTTTTATAAAACAGATAACAAACGGTCATTTTTCGTAATTTAACATGTGTTTACCTGTGGAGGTGGTGGTATTCAAATTGCAGGGGGCAGGGACACCAGACGAGGCTGCTATGGTGGTGTGACCAGGGGAGACGGAGGAGGCAGTTGGTCCAGAGGAGGCCGTGTTGGTGGTGACAGACATGGGGGGTGGTGTGCATTGGGGTGATGATGGACAAAACCGCCGACAATGGCTTGGAGGAGCTGGTGTTTGTAATGGTGGGGTTGAGGGGCCGACGATAGTGTGGCCGGGAGAGTAGGCATGTGGCCTTCTTCTGCAGATGGGGACTCCGGCGGCTCCTACAGGTGTTGCACACTGGGAGGCACTGGCAGTGGTGATGCAGCTGTCAGGAGTGGTTCCAGCAGGGGGTCCAGCAGAGGCGATGGCGTCAATGGTCTCATCCATGGCAGCCCTCTCCTGTGCCCTCTGTGTTCTGAGGGCTGCCCGACGCTCTTTCTCCTCTGCCCCGGCCCTCTCCTTCTCACCCCTCTCCTGCCACTGGCGCGTGTATTCCTCCCCGGTGAGGCATGTGGCGACCACAGGGAGTCTTCTGTATCAGTCCAGCCGATACTTCAGGACAGTAAGGATGTGCCCCAGGTCCTTCGCTATCAGCCTCCCCTCTATTAGGGGGTGCTCTTCTAGAGCTAGGGATAGGACTGGAGCAGCGGCTGGGACTGGGGCAGGGGCTGAGGGTCCTCCTGTGGTCGCTGGGGAGGAGGTGCTGATGGATGGCACAGTGCTGCTGGTTCCAGTAGAGGCGGTGTTGGGACCCGGTAGGGTCCGAGACGGCATTAAACGGGACCCTTCAATGGCTGAAGGGTCAAAAGGGAAGAGGCCACACTTCTTAAACCCTTCCACCACATAGCGCATGTCCTTGCATCGCTGGTACGGGTAGCGGAATACTCTGGCAAATTCTTATTTGTTTACCATGTAGGAGTGGTCAAAATGGCTAAGGTCTCCAGCTACCT